CAGATTGACATTAAAAAATGTACGCCATAATAAACAAACAACCATTCAGGGACCATAAGCAACTGTCTACATTTTCTGTTGACATTTTATTCTCTTATCGCGTAAAACTGTCCGACGTCACCAAGACCTAGTCGATAATATAGTAATTATCAAATCGTTTAGCGTGCAATGGGGAGCGATGTTTGTCCATGTTATGGGGCATGAGGTATCGAACTCTAAACGAATAGACCTAATGGCCTCAACGACATGTTTCATAATGTGATCTCAAGGTTATAGGGTGTTCAATAAAGCAACAATGTATATGGTTTAGTGACAAAACATGGTCGCAAACCAATTAGTACCATTAGCTCGTCATATATATACACCGTGTGTCAAAGGATGTTAGTGACATCCTCAACTAGGGCTGGTCTTTGAAGACCACTAGCCCATAACGATAAAATATGTTCACCTATTATCTTATTTGAATCAATGGTAATTAATGAACATTGCTAAACCTGCAGGTGCCGGGACGAATGGCCACCATTAGTGAAAGTGTACATGGTTGGTACCAGAGTTGGGATATTAACTAGGTTTATGTAGGAACTCCAACATAATTTATTGATGGTGAAGGGAGTTATTGCTATGAGGAACAAAACCTCGTCTGTTGTTGCAGTGTCAGGGACGGCGGTCACCTATCCATCTGTATGTATAATGGACGCCGACGTGTGTATGGAAGAACGCTGGTGTACAATTATCGCTGAAACATTACTGGGGCATGTAACCAGAGCCTGGTTGAACAGGAAGAGATTTTGGTTTATGAAATAGTCGATGTTTGATAATCAGTTATGTCTATCTGATTACAGTGGAAGTCGGAAACTAACTCCATATTTGTGATTTATGCGCATGGTGTGTGTGTAACCCAAGAGGTTCTCTATAAACAAGAGAGTTTAGTTTACATTATGAATGGCCATATATTATCATACGGATTGTGTTGTGACAGAACGTATTTCCCTATATAGCTCAATTTGAAAATGGTACAAAAAGTCAGGAACTTGTCCGTGTAGAAACACACACACACACCCGCACGCACGCACGCACGCACGCACGCACACACACACACAGCCCATGGACAAACCTTTTTATTTTCATTTTACCTTTAATATAATTAAAAACTTCACATTTTTAAAAGTAATCCCATATATGATATACAGCGGACAAATGTATCAGAGAAGGTAATTTTTAATCATTAATGTCCAAAGAAGGATTTTAGTTAACGGTGGTAACCATAATTTGTAACAAGCACCTACGGTATTCGGTAATAACATCAACAGTTTAAATCACTAGTCCCAAGCACGAGAATCTGATGGCACACAAGTTCAGTAACGTGTATGGCCACCATGTGCGTTGACAACTGCCACACAACGCCTCCGCATGGACCTTGTGATGCTTTTGAACACATGATTGGGAAGACGACGCCATTGTTGCTGCAAAATGGTGCCAAGATCTTGCAAATTCTATGGTTGGTTCTGTAGAGTACGCAGACTTCTGCCAAGAGCATCCTAGACGTGTTCGATGGGATTGAGGTCGGGAGACCTTGACGGCCAGTCCATGACGTTGACTCCCGCATTCTGAAGGAAATTCTTTGTCACAATTTCTGTGTGGGGTCTGGCATTGTCGTGTTGGAAGATCAAACCGGGTCCATGTGCTGCCATAAAAGGCAGATGTTCTGGTGCCAGTACCTGGTCGCGGTAAGCAGCAGCGTTGATGTTGCCACGGATGACAAGAAGCCTGGAACGTGCATTGCCACAGAAAGCACCCCACACCATGACACTTCCGCCTCGAAATCAACACTGGGCGTAACGTTCATGACGGCGCCTCCACACCTTCGCCCTACCATCAGCAAATCAAAGATTAGATCGGGATTCATCACTGAAGACGACTTGATTCCAATTCCTCTGAGTCCATCGTAAGTGTCGCTGTGCCCACAATTGGCGTTGACGTCTGTGTAATTGAGTCAGAATCGGCCCCCAGTATGGCCGTCGTGCGGAAGGCGATCAGCGGTGGTACTCGTTTGCTGTAGACGCGTCTGTAAATCATAAACAGTCCGTCGACTACAACCCATCGTCCTTGCGACTTCAGCTACAGACGTTCCCGTCTGCAACATGCCGATGGCACGTTCACGTTGCACATTTGAAAGGCGTGGCATGACAAATAGCCGTAAAGACTTTTGTTTTCTTGTGTTTTTCTTTTTTTGTTAATGACTGCTAACAAGTATGGCTGAAAAAACCTGCGGTATTATGGCCACGTGACCAGTTGCACGTGAAAAAACACTTTTGCCACTATAGTGCTGTGCACATGATTTTGATCGATTCTCCTGTACAAAAACGGGTGTTATCTGAAGACAATACGTGGCCATTACTGTTTAAATACACAATAAGGGCCCACAATGATAACTGGTCAAAATGTTAAAATTTTAGGATTGTGAAGTTTTTATTTTGGTTCAGTATATGTTGGTCATCATGACAAGAGACATTAATTGTCCAGACACTTCTGTTACCATACCTGTAATACTGGAGCCGTTTCGTGAACAAGTGTGCTCTTTGCGAAAAAACGCATGACATTCGCCACAGTTGTAGGCAATGCCTTTCCAAATATTTTCAGATATGGGGCAAACACCGAAACATCCAATATGGCCGCAATGGTGCAATGAAATTACGTATATTTCGTTAGAGCATGACCCACAACCTAACAATATATAGAGAAAAATGAACATTTTGGAATGTATTTACTCAACACTACATCTTTAAAGTAAGTAACTATATTTTAGTAGACTATTTGTTTTGATTTAGACAAGCTTATGTGTGAAAAAAATGTTCACACATGGGAGGCATTTCTGAGAACTGGCGAGAACAAACAGAACGGGTCATGGTCTTGGCTGAACAAGTTATATCATTAGAATGTGGAGATAAAAAGAAATTAAGCGCTCACGGCCAGCCGGTTCTATGTAACAAAGGGTCAGATGTTGTAAATCATCTGCATCAATGTTCAGATGAAGAAACTGACATAAGACTCCTTTTGCACATATCTACTACTGCCTGACAGGGTCATGGTAGGGTTTTAATTCGAACAGTTGATACTGATGTCATTGACCTGGTCACTGCATTGTTTGACAGAGTAGATGTGTCTCACAACTGGATAGCTTTCGGAACTGGCAAACAATTAAGATATTTGGCTGTTCATGTCCTTGTCGGATTCCATGAACCAGATAGCTTTTCTTGCAATAACTGACTGTGACCAGGCGTCTGCTCCAGGGAAAAGCAAAAAGACAGCTGTGAAAACATAGAATGTGTGTGATGAGTGAGTGAGTGAGTGAGTATGGTTTTACGCCGCTTTTAGCAATATGCAAGCAATATCACGGCGGGGGATACCATAAATGGGCTTCACGCAATGTACCCATGTCGGGAATCGAAACCGGGTCTTCGGCGTGACGAGGGAACGCTTTAACCACTAGGCTACCCGACCGCCCCCATGTGTGTGATGAAGCCACACAGGCTCTCAATCTCATTGATAATGTACAAACAAAACAGGGTGTGACGAACATGAGGCCAGTCATTCAGCGTTTTGTGGTCTCAATGAATAACTGGACCAGTATTTGTACGCGAGTTGATGAGGCACGCAAAGACGTATTCACTAAGAAAGGTAGATCAATTGATTCTTGTCCTCTCCATCAGTTGCATTGTACCAACACATAAAAAGAGCTGGTCACTGTTGGGGACGAAGTCTGGAGGTCGAAACAGACATTTCCACACCTACTGAGAGAGGATCCGTAATATCAGTAGCACATGGCTATAAGCCTTTGTGGACTACACTACCACAAGCTTCTAAGTCATGCCTAGAGTTTCTGAGATGTAGCTGTAAGTCTGAGAGGGGGTGTGGATGTGGTGCAGAGCAAGGTGTGACTGGCACATTTAATTGGTTCACCACTTTGCAAATGTCGTGGCAACTGTGATCACATTTAATTGTCCCTTGTCAACCAAAACCATTAGCCATTTACTGTATATTTCAACAGATACAAATTTTGTCTTTCAAATATTCTGTTGTTGTCATTATATTCACCATATTAGTATACAATATTGGTATAGTTAATATGCCTTCATGTCTTAAAGATAAAAAGTCTATTGTGATAAGATTATTTACTTTACAGATGGGTATCTGTTGGGTAAATATATTCCAAAATGTTCATTTTTCTTTATATATTTAGGTTGTGGGTTATGTTCACATGAAACATGGGGACACGGGTGTGCCGTGACGTCTCAGAGACTAGGGTTAGAGTAGCTTCCCTTTGACAGAGGGCAGTTACTCTAGCGAACAGACCGATGGATTGCCGCAAAAGGCAATTAAAAACAATTGTTGTTTTGCGTTTATGTTGCTTCGCAACTGTATAAGAAATAGATTTCAGTTGGAACTATATTGGCTACTGTCACTGTCCGACTGACACGTCACTTACCCTCTGACGTAATAAATATTAATGCGCGCATTGCAGGAAAACTCGCAATGTTTTGGTTATGTTTGTGAGAGAGGGAAAGCGATTTTTAAGCACAGAAATAAAGAGGTTATCACGCTTGTGTGTTTGGGGATGGTAAATATCCTGTATTAGGAATAAACACGCCAAGGCTCGCTAAATACAATGTTTATTCCTAATGCAGGATATTTACCATCCCCAAACACACTCACGTGATAACCTCTATGTATTCTGAAGAGGAATCATTAGTTTCAAACATGATTAAATGTCTTGTTACATTGAAGTTTGATATAGGCTATTGGACACTCTTGCCGTGGGAAGGTAACGTTTTTGTGCCCAGCAGTGTATGTGACCAGAAACATATTTTCTTTGGGGCAAAGACACCCCTTGTTGAATACATTCACAACATATGTTTGTCCTGCACTGCTGTGCAGTGTTAATAAATGGTCTGTAGGCCTAGTGAATTTATCCACGCTATTGTATATTCTACTCCTTACAGCATCCTGTTTGCCGACATCGTGGGGTTCACTGCCATCTCCTCCTCCTGCACTGCTGCGGAGCTCGTCAAGACTCTAAATGAATTATTCGCTAATTTCGACAAGCTCGCAAATGTAATTTGAAACTCTTTCTGCATTTTACAAAATGCATCTTTTACTAAAAGTTGCAAAAGCTGTACGAAAGAATACACAGAACATTCTACAATGATAACGTATGGCGTTGAACAAAGCGATATATCTAAAAATACAAATTCCTTTTGTCCAAATTATTATCAATGTATTCATAATCAAGTGTTCTACTTTCTATCTACTTTTAGAAGTTTCACCAGCACCGGATCAAGATTCTGGGGGACTGCTACTACTGTGTGTGCGGCGCCCCCGATCCCCGATCCGACCACGCCCTTCTCTGTATACACATGGGTCTCAAGGTCGTCGACGCCATAACGTATGTAAACCCGCCACCCTTCTCACGGCAGGGGACCGGAGACGTAGCTTCACATAGTATACCTTCGTAGTGAACAGCGGACACTTTGTCCACTGGGCCATCTAACCGCCTCCTTATACGTTTAATGTTGTTTTCTCTCGAGGGACTTGTGGTATCTTTTATCATTGCCAAGCACACTCCTGCTGACATTTAGAAGGTCGGTTGTTCCTGATTAGTATGGATGATGAGGTGGATATTGCAGCCATCTGTCGCCATTCTTGATTACATAGTTGAAGTCTGTGCATGACCACGAACCAAATACGATTCCTCATTGCTTGACAAGAATATCTGGCATTACTCTTTCTCGTATTTCCCTTTTTTTAAATGGAGGACCTGGCTCGGCCAATTGACAGTCTCAGCAACTTTGATTCATTGACATCCTTCAAACAGTTTCTTGATGTGCTATTTTCAGCAATTACAAAGGGACAATGTCTCCGATTCACACTGGTTGTAATCACAACGTACAGACCAAGGCAGTTTGGAATAATTTCATGGCATCACCTTAATAGATCCCATTATTTCATAATATCCCCTGAATAGATCCTAGTATTTCATTGTATCCCCTGAATAGATCCCAGTATTTCATGATATCCCCTGAATAGATCCCAGTATTTCAGGACATCACCTAAATAGATCCCAGTATTTCATAATAACCCCTGAATAGATCCCAGTATTTCATGATATCCCCTGAATAGATCCCATTGTTTGATGATATCCCATGAATAGACTCCAGTCTTTCATTGTATCCCCTGAATAGATCCCAGTATTTCATGATATCCCCTGAATAGATCCCAGTGTTTGATGATATCCCCTGAATAGATCCCAGTGTTTGAAGATATCCCCTGAATAGATCCCAGTGTTTGATGATATCCCCTGAATAGATCCCAGTATTTCACTGTATCCCCTGAATAGACGCCAGTATTTCATTATATCCCCTGAATAGATCCAATTATTCATGATATCCCTTGAATAGATGCCAGTGTTTCATTGTATCCCTTGAATAGATCCCAGTGTTTGATGATATCCCCTGAATAGATTCCATTATTTCATTGTATCCCCTGAATAGACCCCATTATTTCATTGTATCCACTGAATAGATCCCGATATTGCATGCTTGGAGGAAGGGATAAAATGTTGAAATGGTGTTGAGGCACTGTTACTGTGTTGTGTGTTGTGTGCTGTGTGTTGTGTGCTGTCTTATCCCGATCTGTGGACTGGCACAGAGTCGACTATTTTGCTGGCCGTCATGAACAAACGTACATTCATGACAGACGTGTTCGTGTAGGCACGGGCGACCCAGCCATCTTTGTCGCCGGAAGATGCTGTGCAGGATTGCATCCTTTAGGCGTGCCAAAGATCTATGATCATGGGCTCGAATTCCAGTTCGCCCTTTTAATGTTTCGAGGTTTGTCAGCACCATACACGAGTTCGCGGGTTTCGCGAAAATGGTAAGCGTTCCTCCCATATCAAACTGTGATATAACTGAAGTGTTGTGCCAAGCGGCCTCAAGGCAACTCACTCACTGTAACCAGGAACGAACCAGTGTGAATCATGACATGCTTTCGTTCCAGATACGTGCGAGAAAAGACCAAGAGAGACGTCAACATGCGCGTAGGAATACACACCGGCGCAGTGTTAGGAGGAGTGCTAGGGCAGAAGCAATGGCAGTACGACGTATTAGGAAAGGAGGTGATCCTAGCTAACAAGATGGAGAGTGGCGGAGTTCCTGGGTAGGTGGTCATATCCGTGCGCATTCGTGACCAACTCGTGTTATTCCGGGACAAGCCGAATAGCGACTCGTGCCCCTCTCGTGGCCATTTTTGCGACCGGGTTCCGTCTTAGCGCAAACGGGCATACCTAAAACAATTGTCAATTCGTTGCGTAATGGTTCACATATATTTCCCCATATATTATATGTATTTCAGATGCAATTTAAAGCACATCGGGACGTGCGGAATTATACAGTATGATTGAACACATTTAACTGTGTCTTGGGTATATTTTTAGATGCAAGACATGTGTAAAATCAAAAATGGATACCGAGGGATTCTTTGACGAAGTACTTGAAATCATACGCGCATTCTGTTTGGTTTGTCGTACTTGTCGCACATAACATTCCTCGATAGGGGGACGAGTCTTCTTGCAGGTTACGGAAAGGGGCGAGTTGTGACGAATGATCCGTGCGGCGCCAGGTAGACAGACAATAAAGACAGACTTACTTTTGTTACAGACTTGTTGTGAGTGGCCCGCACGGGTGCTACCTGAGGCGGGACATGCTGCCATGTTCGCGATCATATGGTGTCATCCCTGGTGTACTGTTATCCATTCGAGTAGTTTTCAGCGCCGTGTTCCCTTTTGCGCCTAGTGGCGTCCGTTTCGGTACTATAACATATATGCATACTTGGCCCTATAGAGTAGTCACTGAACACGTCCCATTTTAATTCTGGAAACCCAAAAGTCCAGAAACTCTACGGTCTTTGCCCAGTATCGGTCAAAGTTATTTACAAAATTAAACATGCGGTTTTCATGGAAACATACCAAGGAAGAAAAAATGAAAAAAAAATGTTTAAAAACTTAATATTTACACCATGTCGCCCATGGGCAGGCCCATGGGCGAGAATATATTCCTTTACTTAAAACTCATGTTTTTGTTTCGCAAATACATTAAATGTATTCATTCAAGTATCATGACACAAAATATAACTCATTTTAACTTAATTCAACTATTTTATAGCGATATTGAAATATTTCGCCCATGGGCGAGAAAAAGGTTAGGCCCATGTTCCTTCAATCAAAACTCATGTTTTTGTTTCGCAAATCATACATTAAATGTATTTATTCAAGTATCATGACACAAAATGTAACAAAATTAAACTCATCTTAACTTAATTCAATTCGATTTTATAGCGATATTGAAATATTTCGCCCATGGGCGAGAAAAAGGTTTGGCCCATGGGCGAGAATATTTTCCTTTACTCAAAACTTATGTTTTTGTTTCGCAAAAACATGCGGGTGTTCTTTCCATTTTCATGGCACATAATGTAACTCAATTTTACTTAATTCAGCTATTTTATAGCCTTATTGAAATATGTAGCCCATGGGCGAGAAAAGGTTTGGCCCATGGGCGAGAATATTTCCCTTTGCTCAAAACTCATGTTTTAGTGTCGCATATACATAAAGGTGTTCTTAGAAGTTTCATGTCATATAAGTTAACAAATTTTAACTTAATTCAACTATTTTACGGCGTTATTGAAATATTTCGCTCTGGACGAAAAAGATTGGCCCATGGGCGAGAATATTTACCTTTGCTCAACAGTTTTAGTTTCGCAAATACATAAAGGTGTGTCTACAAGCATGACACATGATTCAACTATTTTACGGCGTTATTAAAATATTTCGCCCATGTTTTCGTCAGTCCCTTTAAAGCATCAACTAATCGTGTGCAAAGTATATTGTATCGTGTTAAATATACTTTATATTATATCATTACATTACTATTTAAAAAGGGCATTTGATTGGATGTTTCCTTTACAGAAGTTCTACAAATTTCACCTGTTTTACATTTTGTAGCGATCTTTAATGAACCCGGCCTTACCTCTCAAAACGTTTTGACAGTTTATCATACGAATTCATGTGCGTGTACTTCAATTCATTGGAGTTATTTTCCACAACATTCAAGTTTAGTTAGTTTCTATTTCATTTATCATTTTATGCCCCGTTGATACATCACACTGGGCAATTACGTGACACTAGGTATGAAATATACAGGTACGCGTGCGCGTATTTTAATGAAAAAAACTATTCGTCTTTTATTGCATAACGTTTGGCTGAATATCTTACATTCTAACGAAATCTCGAAATAAGCATTTAATAACATGCGGTGTCAAACTGACCAGTGGAGAATTATGTTTCAATGCGATTGAGGAAAACGTGAGTGAATATTGTGACACTAAAGCACCTTTTAACTGCATTGCCACTTGGGGTATGAAACTGGTAACAGTTCAGAAAAAAACAACAGCCTTCTTATGATAATTCTCATATTCTCATTAGGACGTTGTATCTAATTACAGTGTCGGCGTTATTTACAAGTGATTCTACAATACCTGCTGTCGGTCAATTACGATCTACCACACCACGCGTGAATAAACAGTTATGCAGGTGTTGCTGTGGGCAAACACCTAGCCTGAAAATGTTTTGTTTTTTGTGGAAACATGTTTTACAAATGTTCGTTGATATGTGGATATATTAAGCACAAAGACAAACAAATGTTTATGAAAGATGAATTAGTGCCTTGATATATTCATCAAGATGTGTATCATCGTTTAATGGGGTCATTCAATAAACGTATGTTTGGAGGAGATATTAAAGGAGCCGCCCAATATACACAGTGTCGTCCGGTGAACTACCACCCCACCCTGTCCATAAGAGTTATGTAATCGGTACACAAATATATTTGATGCGATGTCAGTGTTGAAGGAGTTTGAATTACGTCGCAGATACTACTTGCTATGGTTCACTCCCAATTGACACACGACCTAATCATCAGTCAGACCAGTCAAGTGTGACCAGTGTACCTGCCTGGTTTAACCTCCTAATTACCGAGCTGCCCAATACTACAGCGGCTCCAACTCGTTGAGTGATACAGATTAACCAGGTTATGATTGTGTTTGTAAGTTGCGTTTAATCTGTGTCGGGTTGCAGTTGTTTTATTAGGCAAGACCAGGGGTAGTTTTTTCAATTAAACCTTTTAGCCTTTGAGTTTGTTTTGCATTCATTTCATTAAATACATTGTTAGGTAGAATGATAACACGTTATATGGATTAAACATCTCCTTAACATGAGTATAATCTCACATGTACCCTAAGTTCCGTACTATATTACTTTGCGGAGACACTGAGTATAATTTTTGAGTTGGCATTGTATGCTGTCTGAATGACTTTACACAAATCCCTGCGTCAATGGACCCGTGAAGATCTTCAACAACCCATTCTTGGCGTAAAAGGGCGACAGCGCTTGTCGTAAGAGGCGACTACCGGGATCGGGTGGTCAGGCTCGCTGACTTGGTTGACGCATGTCATCGTATCCCAATTTCGTGGATCGATGCACATGATGTCAATCACTGGATTGTCTGGTCCAGACTCGATTATTTACAGACCGCCGTCATACAGCTGAAATATTGCTAAGTGCGGCGTTATACAACTAACAAACAAACAAAACAATCACAACAATCACTATGACGAGGTATGCATATCTTGCAATCAACCTGAATCCAGTTACTGGAATGTCAAACCCGGGCTTGGTTAAAACAAGAATTGCAGTTAGATCCGCTATATGCTGTAGATCTCCTGTAGTCAAAAGATGCAATAGCGAGGCAGAACAATGTCAATTTATGAGGGACAGACGGCTACTCGAACATATATAAACATAGCAGCCAAAGATAAAAATGAAATCATATCATGTACGAAAATAGAAATCATATCAACACAAAAAGAGAAAGTGTATGAGTACTAAAACTGGCAATAGATATGCGTACCCTACGTACACACATGAGTCCCATTCGACTGTCTACAACACACGAATAACTGTCAAACAAGTTTGGGTACCCCTTCTGTTCAGGCAACATATTTAGTTTAATAATTTTGTATTAAAATCCTTTTCAATTTGTTTGTACCATTTTCCCTATTCCATGCATGTTTATGCTGCTACATCTTATTGCTCATGTTTCCATGTATTGTAAAACACTTCAGTGTTTCTCCTTCTTAATCTAACGTTATAACATTTCAGGTCATTACCATCATCTAATACACAAGAGACATATTTTATTCGGTTTTATGGTCTATGCGGTCTTACAATTGATTTAATTGTTAATTAGTCTTTAAATCTTATGTCTAGTACATATTTTCACAAACAGGGCTGTTAGATGATATAAAGAAGGTAACATCCAGTTGAGGACTGAATACGACGTACTTTAGTCTGTTAACGACGTTTCTACAATTAATATTTTGAATAAGCCGTTAATACGCCAGTTGTGACAGGGATGATGGTATGGTAGCTGTAGCAGACAGATTGGCAGCCGTTGTTACGTGAGTCACTAGGTTATTAGTACGGCATTGGCCTTGTTGATTGTTACTCTACTTTGAGGATTTCTGTGGCCAGTGGCGGACGTAATTCAAACTCCTTCCACACTGACATCGCACCAAATATATTTGTGTACCGATACATAACTCTTACTGACAGGGTAGGGTGTCAGTTCACGCGACATGGACGACACTGTGTAAATTGAGCGGCTCCTTTAATATCGCCTCACAACATACTTTTAATGAATGACCCATTAAACGATGATACACATCAGGATCGCGGAGAAAATACAAGATTCATTCTCGTTGAATATATATATCAAGGCACCAATTCATCTTTCATAAACTTTTTGTGCCTTTGTGCTTAATATATCCACATATCAACGAAAATATGTAATACATGTATCCACAAAAAATATACATGTACAGGGCATTGCCTAAACGTCGGGCCGGGCCAAGACGGGCCAAAGTGTTATTGGCTAATTACTTCATTATCGGCGATCATACCTTCATATAATTGGTTCAATATAAACACATGACATGAATGAACAATCACCAAACAAAAAAGTGCACCATAATTAAGTAATTCGGAGTAAATCGCTTGAAAACCAGAAAGTGGAGCTATGTGTAAGCGTCGCTTATCTAGCTAACCT